CCCGCCAGTCCCCGCCAGTCCCCGCCGGTCCCCGCGACCCTCCGGCAGGGAACCCCCTCGGGTGCCAAAATGCCGGGGCACAAACTCACACAACTTTCAGGGAGGGAAGCTCGTCGAAGACACCAGGTGGGAGGCTGGAGAAAATGTTCCCGGACATGTTCCTGTGGGACAGGAGAGGAAGGAGGCTCAGAGGGGACTGGAGACCTGCAGGAGAGGGTCTCTAGCCCCCTGCTGCACCCACACACCCCAGCACAGCACGTAGTGAGGGTGGGCACGGGCCAGTTGCAGCCCAGCAAGGCCCTGCACTAGCCAGAGGCAAAGGGAAGGAGCCTCAGTGTGTGGCACAGGGACAGCCCCGGGGTGCAAAGCCACCAGCAATGCCCTGGGGAATAGGACAGAGGAGACAGAGGACAGGGGAGGCCAGGGGGTCCCTAGGGAGCTACTTACAGCCTGAGGAGGTTGGAGAGCCCCTGGAAGACGCTGGCACTGAGGCAGCCGATGCGGTTGTTGGAGAGGTCCCTGCAAGGCGAGCGAAGGGGCCATCAGGGTTGGGGAGCCCTGCTGTCCCCACGCCCCCCGCACCGGGCCCAGCTGCTCCCCAGGGGGCACTTACAGACGCTTCAGCTCAGGGAGGCCAAGGAAGGCGCCCGGCTGGACCGTGCTGATCAGGTTGTTCTTCAGGTCCCTGTGGGGAGACAGACACAGACCTCAGGGGGTGCAGCAGGGACAGGGGCACGAGCGCACCCCGATCCCTGCAGCCCCCACCCCCCCACGGTGTGCTCCTCGGCAGCCCCAGGCGCTGCAGAACCCCTGCAAGGTGGGGAGACAGACACAGACCTCAGGGGGTGCAGCAGGGACAGGGGCACGAGCGCACCCCGATCCCTGCAGCCCCCACCCCCCACGGTGTGCTCCTCGGCAGCCCCAGGCGCTGCAGAACCCCCTGCAAGAGCCTCATTAGCAGCTTTCCGTCCCATTTCCCTCTCATTATCCCTCCAAAACGTGCAGGGAAGGCGCAGGGCCCCCCGTGGCTCACTGGGGGGGTTGCCAGCCCCTCCGCGTGCACCAGGGAAGCACCGTGTGCCCGCACTGTCCCCTCCTGCACGGTGTTTCCAGAGCAGCCATATCCTGGCCGGTTATCTCCTGCACACGGGATAAGAACAAGCTGCAGCTGCCAGCGCGGCCCCAGAACGGCTCTGCCACCCGCAGGAAGCTCTTTCGGGTTATTAGCCTGATTGGGAGGCACGTATCTAATCAGAGGTTCGCCAGGCGTGCGCCTGGGAGCACCAGTGGCATCGGCTGCTCTGTCCAGCCCTGGGGAACAGGGAGGTGGCTCCTGCCAGGCACCAGCACAGGCTGGGAGAGGAAATGGGATCCATATGGCAGTGCTGTGTTTATTTATAGCAGTCACCAACACTGACACGACACCGACACCAACACACTCTGCATGAACAACCCAGCAAAGCCCCGGCCCCGCAAAACGTTGCTGCCAAAACGCAGAGCCCCTGGCTCTGGCTGGTGTGCAGGCAGGGGCTGGGGGCCACAGGGGACCACGGGACAGCAATGGGGCCCACTAGGGACCATGCCAGACCTTGGGGACTCACAATCTGCCTGGCAGGGACCCTTCCTCCCTCAGTCACCCCCTCCCTGCCAGCCAGGGGCCCGGGGCTGCTGTTGCCCATTTATGATAAGGCTTTTCTCTCCACATGGCTGTTGTTTGCCTTCATGTTTCCACCAGTCCTGAGCCTCCAGGAGCAAGAGCTGGCCATGGCATGGGGACCCCCCACTGCCACGTGTCCACGAGGACCCCCCTGCCACCACACATGCGTGGGGACCAAGAAAAACCTGGGCACAGAGAGCCTGCTCCAGCCCAGTGCAGCCCCCAGGAGCCCAGCAGCACCTCCACATGGCTGTTGTTTGCCTTCATGTTTCCACCAGTCCTGAGCCTCCAGGAGCAAGAGCTGGCCATGGCATGGGGACCCCCCACTGCCACGTGTCCACGAGGACCCCCCTGCCACCACACATGCGTGGGGACCAAGAAAAACCTGGGCACAGAGAGCCTGCTCCAGCCCAGTGCAGCCCCCAGGAGCCCAGCAGCACCCGCCACAGCCCAGCACGGAGGGACAGATGGACCCGTCCCCGTCCCTGCCGCCACCCTGCTGAGCCCCCTCACTGCCCGAAGCCCCACGGGGGGAGCGCTGGCCCTGACGGACGGCAGGACGTTCCCAAGCGGGGCTGCGCTAATGAGCGCGGCCTCCCCGGCTGCATACCGGCCCCGCTCAGACTAATTAATCTCATTACGCCGCCACAAATCACCGGAGATGCCAAGCTGCAAGTCCGGAGGGGCGGTGGTCTGCAGGGGCACCCTGCACGCTGCCGAGACCCTGGGAACGGGCCGGGTCTGCCAAACCCACCCGAGGGAAACAATTACAGCTCCTGTCCGCAGCAATCAGGCGCAGCGCGGCGTGATGCCACCAGCCGGGGGGGATCACTGCCCAGCCCCCCCAGACACGCCCCTGCTCCCCTCCGACCCTCATGGGGTTTCAGCACAGCAGAGCTGAGTAGGTGACAGGGTCTGCCAGAACACGGGGGCTTTTAGGGGGATCCCGGGCACCCCAGGGGTGCAGTGTCTTGTAATGTCTCCATGATTTTAAAATCCCAAAGCAGCCCCAATTCCATGCGCCGGGCACTGCGTGCTCAGTCATGTCCACTCCCCATCGCAGCACCGGGCAGCCCGGGGTACCTGCACCCCCCGACACACGGGCACTGTGCACCCCGGGGGTCCCGGGTGTAGCCCCCAGCCCCCCGGAGCTGCAGCTCTGCTGAGGCCGGGGCAGGTGCACACCCTGTCACTTGAACAAGATCTGCGTTAATGAAGGCTTCCTCGTTCGGGTAATGAAACACAGGTGGTGAGGATCCCGCTGCCCTTGGGGAGCACCCACTGCCCCCTGCAAGCCCCCCAGCTGGCCCGGGCTCCCCGTCCTGCTGTCCTGGCCACCCGTCCCCCACTGATCTGCACACAGATGCCCTGCAGGAAAGCAGTGGGGTGGGAACCTGCCACCCAACCAAAGGGGATCCCCCAGCACCTGGGGCTGCAGAGGATGTGGTGTTCAGCACCCACGGGTACTGGTGGCCAGGCCACTGTCACAGCAGGTGAGTGTCCCATGGTTTTTAGCCCCGCTCAGAGCAGGAAGGTGCGAGACCCTCGCGGGGCCGCAGTGGGGAACAAAACGCCCTCAGTGCGCGGGTCCCCGCTCCGACATACCTACAGATCAAACCCATATGGGGGCCATAAATCTGCCCTCAGCGCGGCTCCCTCCATAGAGATGCCTTTCATGGAGAGATAAGAACGTTGACTTTGTTCGGGGGGACAATGTCGCTTTTCATAGCAGCCCCCACGGTGCCTCCCACCCCAGCACAGCGCCCGGGGTCCCCAGGATGCCCATGGGAAAACCCCTGTGCCCCGGTGCCAGCCCAACCACAGCACCCAGAAGTGACACCGGGAGCAGCACCCACCCTGCTGACCCCCCATGGAAGATCTGCCCACCACTACTTTACCAAGTCT